GGATTGCTGAAGAGTCAATGAGTCGATGCAATCAGCTGGTTTTCCTTAGATAGAAAACTTTGAATCAATCTGACTGGATGATCTGGTGAACTTTAAAGTGCCATTCATCTCATCCACCTGCCCTTCTGCTTTAGATATGGCTCAGCCCAGCTATCGGAGGCAGATCATTGTTGTATGATTATGTTTGTTCGTTTGAGTTTTAGTTTCAGTTGGAGATCATGGCTGATTTCCAGAATTCATGTTCCCGTTCTTGGAGGCAAGTGGTTAGAGAGGGTTGGTGGTGTTGTCTTGTCCTGATCGTGTCCTGGCTCTTATTCTCTGAGCGTACTTTGTTCCTGTTTTGGCTCAGTGAAGGGAGGCAGTTTAAAGTTCCGAAGTTCTCCTGGTGTCGTGTTCAGTTCTGCCGCTCAACTACTGAGTCTCCCTGTTTCCATCTGTCTGTCTGAGATCATGGAACCCTGAACTTGCCTGAACGCTCTGTGGATTCCCGGAACCCTGGATCAGTCTGATCGGAACCCCTCACCGGGATATGGTATCCTGCACCTCAGAACTGTCCTGTCTGATCTGTTTGCCTGACCTGGCTGGGATTTCTGCCTGTTCATCGGAGGCTGCTGCATCAGGGACGCTCTGTGCAGCTCCTGCTGGATCTCATTGGAGCTCCATCGGCTGGATCATACCTCATCGGAGAGGATGGACTGAACTGTTAATCCAGAGTGTGAGTGATGGGTGTTTCTCCGCCTCCCCCAGCGGCTTCTGCTCCTTTCTGTTTGTTTGTTTAATAAACGTTTTGAAACTTTCCACTGTCTGTCTCACCTTGAATATTGGTTCCAATGTTCTGAGATCATTACACATAATGAACATGAGCTGAAATGAAACAAAACTAACGAGACTATTTTTAAACAGTAAGGAGTAAAAAAATAGAGATAATTGCTAAAAAAATATATGTATTAGGTTTAGAAAGTTGCCTAAAAACAATGACTCCAGTAAAGTTTAGATAGCCAACATTTCTACTTAAGGAAACAAGTATTTGTACTTTGTTACTTGAGACCTCTGCCTTACATCACCAATAATAGCAATAATAACATGAAAATAATCACGTGATTCATTAAATAATCAACGGGCTCCAAATATGAATCTTTTAATATTGTGTTTCAGCTACTTTGACCCTAAATTATTTGTCATAATTAAGCCTTTCTGTGTCAGATTTAAAAATGAAAGAAACTGATGTAGAAAAAGTTGGAGAAGAAAAGCAGCAATTCTCCACTTCTAAAACACAGAGTGGTTCCTGAACTCAACACGAACAATTTTCAACAGTTTTACAGAGAAACTCAACAGCATTAATAAAATAAACAATAATCTCCTTTAAATCACAAAATGTAAGATGTCACTTTTTTGACATAATTGTACTGCCTATCAGAATTTAATTAAAATATTAATATAGATAAAAATGTCTCTTTAAATTAGGAAAATAATTATTTCTCACAGCCCCTCAACAACGGTCCTATAAAATAAAGCCAGGGGAAAAAATAGATAAAAGGTTTCTAAATAGTCCATTTTAAGCTGATTTAGAGGATTCCAGCATTTTGAATCACAAACAAAATGGTTTCTAAGGAAAAATGCTGTCCTGTTTATCAATGAAAAAACAGCTTCATGAAACATAAGTTTGTTGGATTTTTTAGGGTAGAGTTCTGTTTTTAACATTTCATTTTCTCCTCATGGGAAACAACATTTTATTTTAGAATTCTGTTTGTTCTTAAGAAGCAAACCAGATTTTTCGGTTTTATCCAAACTTATCTTTTAACACAAGAATTGCATTTTTCTCTGGATATTAAACTGTGTCATTTAGTCATAAGCCCATAAAAAGTCCCTAATGTAAGATATAAACACTCTTTAAATATTTTTACAAAGTAATAACAAATACTTTAACCTTTGAGGAAAACTTTAAATTAGAGCAGAGAAACAGCGAATCTATGATTGCAGGGGTGAAGAGTCAAAATTAGAAAGTAATGAGAGTTCAGAAGGTAAGTCCGCCCATCAGAGGTGTTTGGTTCTTTCAGGCATACCTGCTGGCAGGTTGCTGCTGGAATGAGGCAGATGAATCCAAATGAAGGACGAAGATCCATAAATGTTTCCACAGAGAAGCCATTGCTGTTGGGACTGTAGTGTGATGCCAGCAAACATTCCCTTTCCATCCCTGCACACCCTAATCTACTTAAATCAGCCTTTATATCCCATGATGGACTGAGGAGTCAGCCAATCAGAAAGGACCAAGGACAACAAGGCAGAAGAAGTCCCGCCCACTTGTTAAACTGTAATGGTTTCCACATTTGATCAGATTCAGCTTAAAAATAACATCCCTGAGGATTAAAAGGACACCAGAACCTCCTCATCAGAAAATCAGTCCTGGTAGAATTGGGAATAGATAGATGGGAACATAGGCGCCACCTGCTGGACAAATACAACATTTACATTGGCAGCTAATCAAAATTAAATAATTGCATTATATAAATAGCTTTATATAAGACAGCAGTTGGATATTCAATGGATTTTAGTAGCTAAATATATTACTAAAATACTTGCAGATGAAGTAAATAGTTGTACCACACTGCAGACTACATTAAAACCAGAAACCTAAATCTGATGCAACATCAATAATAAATTTAACACAATAAAATCACTTTAACAACCAATAGGGTTTAGGGTGAATCTCACCAAGTCTGACAGCCAAAGATTTTAAATATTTTAACACCAATAGTTTAAAAAGCAGTTTACTCACTGGCACTGCTTTTAAAGTACATTTCTACAAAAAATTGCAATGTTGAATAATATAGTAAGGTATACTTCTGAACTACAAAAAAAAAGTTTATTTAATTAGCATAATTGGACAGATGTATAAAATGCAAAAAGAAAAAAATAGAAATCCCTGCAAGTGAATTTGATACTATATCAACAGGGGTGGGCAACTCCAGTCGTTGAGGGCCGGTTTCCTGCAACATTTAGATGCATCCTTGGTCCAGCACGCCTGAATCAAAGGGTTGAATTACCCCCCAGTATGCAATCAATTTCTCCAGAGTCCTTTTAATGATATATTTACTTATACAGGCCCTCCAGGACTGGAGTTGCCCACCCCTGCTATAAATGAATAATAAACCATAGGCGTAATGACTGGGCCTTTGTTACAACAATTTAACACTTCTTTAAATACCAATAATTCACTTTAAAATATATTTAAAAAGTATTTATCATGAAATCTACACTTGTTAATACAAGATTTTATTTCCACTGTTTGAATCTTAATGCCACATTAGAAGATAAACCTTCATTATATCAAAGGTTACAAGTTTATTCGACTCTTATAGATTCTGTTTAAAACATCGTATTTGGAGCATTGCAGCGGGGTCAAAGGTGATCTGTTTTACTAATATCTGATTCAACCAAAAAAAACAAAAAAAACAGGTGTTTGTGTTTTATTTTTATTTATTCATACTTGTATGGTTGTAATTATCTGAGCTGAAAATCCCTTTAATGTCCCACAATGGGGAACTACTGGTGTTAAAGCAGCAAAACGATTAGAGAAAAAAAAATGTGGACCGTAGAAAAATGTATAAGAATAACATAATAGTTAAGAGTTAAAGATAACCAATAAAATCCTGTACTGTAAAGTGTTTTAACAATATCAAACTATGCTCCTGGAGAATAAATAACTAATATCCAGCTATGGACATTTTTACAGTAATTTGAAAATAGCAGCAACATCAGAGATGTGCAAAATTACAGCAGCAGGTTATTTAACTGACTAAGGTAGAAACTGTGCAAAATCAGCATGAATTGAACAACTGATTGAGGTTGTTGGGAACAGTGGTAAGTAATACATTTTTTGTTACGTACAGATAATACAGATTGTGTTATGTTGTTTTCTTTTATCAAATGAAAGAATAGGAAATAAAATCAATGTGACATTATTTTATCCACCGAATTCAGGCTAATTTATGGTCAACTACTAATTAATTTTATATTAATATTCTCTGCAAACCTTTATCTATAAAGCTTGAACAAAAAACGAGTCTTCGAAAAAAGAAAATGACAAAAGTTTTTTTATTTTTTATTTTTATTACAAAACTTAGAAACTTACAGTTCACGTTTGTATGAAGGGAAAATAAAGACAAAGAAAATAAAGTAAAATACATAAAAGACAATTTTTAACATCAACAATTAAAGAACAAATCCAGAGTAACAAAAATTAAGTATCAGTAAAATTAATTATAAAGTTAGAGTAGATAAATGTTGTAAACAATTTGATGCTGATTTACCCTTTAATCCAGAGATACAGATTATATAATAAATGACACAGAAGTGCTTTGATATATTTAGGGTAATTTTACTCAGGCACTCTATAGTCGCTTCCATTTAGGGTCCTCAGACTACACATTGCCGCGGTGCATGCTGGGTCCTTCCTTTCCAATCCCAGGCTCGCTTCTGCAATCATGGGTAAGGCTCGTTTTTCACCAAAATACCGATCATATCATTATTTTAAGCTCAGGTTTTGTGTCGATTCTATATATAAAGGTCTTTTGTGCTGCTTGTTGTTGTTTTTTGTCGGTAAAAATTCAAACTTTATGATAAAAGGAACGTTTATTCAGCGGCGTCTGTCCGCAACGTGGAGCGGCCATAATGTCGCTCCGCTGCTAGCCGCCGCTCGGCGCTCTTAGTTTAGGACTAATGAAATATTTATGGTTTTTAACACCATTACTGATGTTTGCTTGTAAAAGGTAGATTACGTTTATGTCAATGTAGTTTAGCTGAATTGTTTCATTAAACTCATCAATTGTTGCTATCCTTTAGGCTAGCGCAGCTTTCATGCTAATTTTCTCCAGCGGGTTCTGCATGTTAAATAACTGATGTAAATTAAAACATCTAATTAAAAATGCTTTTCCAGATTTGTGTTTTACTACATGTTAATTTTTGTGCGTGACTCGCTGAGATGCGAGTCCTTCATAAGTAGGGCCTTTAATTAGAGCAGAGATTTTATTGGCCCTTAAAACGCTGAATCTGTTTTTCCTGCTGCTTATAATTAACAATTGTGTCTGAGATCATTACACATGATGGAAATTAGCTTAAATGAAACAAAACTAACTATACTTTTTAAATGTAAGGTGTAAAACGTAGAGATTATTGCTAAAGAATAGTAAAAAGTTTCCTAAAAGTAAGCACCCCCTTAAAGTATAGATGGGCAACATTTCTACTTAAAGTAGGTAAAC